GCTTGCAATATGTCATACTTATATTATGAAGATTGCTTATAAGCAAAAATTATCTTTACAAATTATTGATATTAATTACATTATTTTATAATAACGTTTGCTGTAACATAACAAATTTTATCACAGCTCAAATATCTTTTATATTTTTAAATATTAAGAACGTTAATTTATTTAGTGAATTGAATTATTATCATGTATTAGCTGTAGGGTTATAAAAAGTGTCAAAAGAAAATTGTTATTTTTGCTTTTCATTTTAAATAAATATTTGTTAAAAGTTAACAAATATTCATTAACACTTAATAAATCGTATTTTATAAATAATTTATAAACTGTCAATAATTTATAAACTGTTAATAATTGCATACGTGTGCCTCAAAAAAATATTTTGCTTTTGTCATTATTGAATCGAAGTTTAATTTACTAATCTGTTGCTTTTTTATTATTATTAGTTTTGTTCTAAACTAAACGAATTTTGTTTACTACCAATACAAATCTAATTTAAATAAATAAGCATAAAAACATTGTATACTAAACATAAAAAACTAATTAAAATTTACATAATAACCAATGTTTGAGAATCGGTCAACTACTGGAACACTCCTCGGTCAATTACTGGATCAAGCCGGTCAACTACTGGTGTTTTTATCTTACCTGCATTTAAACGTGAATTTATATGTAATTTTATGAATAATTATTTTAAATAACTTCACATATCAAAAACTTGAATATTTAAGGTTCATATAAACTTAAAATTTTTATTTTTTAGCTTATAATAATTTAATTACGATCAATTGAAATGCCAAAAATCCTTAATCGGTCAACTACTGGTGCATTTACCCTAAAATAATTTTTATCAGAATTAACTTTTTAAAAGTTTTTAATTATATTTATTAAAAAAATGTTTTGGCAAAAAATAATCTCAAAATAATTTTGAAAAAAAATTTGAAGTTATGAAATTTCAAAATTTACAAAATAAAATTTTGTCCAAATTTTTTTTTTTTTTTTTTTTTTTTTTTTTTAACAAAAAATAAACAGTCCAAAAATCTACATTTTTGGAGAAAAATTTAACAAACATTCAAAACTTAAATACAATTTAAAAAAAGTCATTATAATTAAGTATTTATCATACTAACAATTTTAATTTAACCAATTACAAAAAAGAAAAAATTTTTATAAATTTATCCGATTGTTAGTTTTGTGTTTGTGTTGTTTATTTTGGCTTTGTGTTTTCTTTGTGTTGTCAGAGCTTTAGCGGAAGTGTAACAGTAAAGATGGCCGGAAGCACCCATACCGGCGTATCCGGCAATACCGGGCACGCCACAGTCAACACCAACTCACAAACTCACATTAGTTCTGAGCAACAACTACCCGTGTCCACCCCTCTTCACTACCCCTGCAAGATTTGCGGGAAGTAAGTTTTATAGTTTATAATAATTACGATTATAAATTCTAAATTATCCCCATTTCGCCAGATAACGCCGCCATTTTGTCCTCCGATTTGGTTATAGTCGTTATATATCATATAATATATAATATATATTTAACCGCTCACGCATGAGTTACTTCGGTTCGAGCGACTTCTGTAGTATTTTTATTAAAAACGTCAGATTACAAATAGGCGCGTAGAAAATAATTATTTTTTTAGTGCAAATAATTATTTCAATTACATTGATGTTACTTCGACACCGATCGAATACATTAATTAATTAATATTAGTCGTATGCATTTCTTTTTTATCGCTCTTTTATTAATATGCTTAATTTGCAATTACTTTCTCTGCACAGTCACAGATTTTTGCTTGTTAATTAACTTTACCCAATAATATATTTATTTATTAATTATACTGAGGCATGAATTACTTCATTGTTTTACGCATGACCTTTTATTGTCATCAACATAATTTTTTATTATAATTAAAACTCCGCTTATTAAGTTACCATTCAATTGTTTTCGGATGACTATTTTGGATAATAAAATTAATATTGACTGCTATTTATAGATAATTACAATTTTATATGCGATTTTTGTTAATTTATTAATGAAATTTCAATTTAGAGAGGAAATTTTTTACTTAATTTGGTAAAGTGATTTTTGTTATATTTCTTTGGTTAAATTTGAATAAATTCTTTGGAATTATCAAAATATTATTAAAAAGAAGCTTTTTTTTTACAAAATTACAAAGTAATTTTTACATAAAATGATATATTAATAAAATTTTCATTTTTTGATGCATAAAAACCTTGAATAAAATTAATTTTACTCAGTTTGATTATTATTATCTATTTTTTGGAGATATTCCAGTGAAAAATAAATTTTTACCAAGATTGAAAATTTGATGATATTAATATCACATTTTTGTTATATTTCTTCGGTTAAATTTGAATAAATTCTTTGGAATTATCAAAATATTATTAAAAAGAAGCTTACTTTACAAAATTACAAAGTAATTTTTACGTAAAATGATATATTAAAAAAATTTTCATTTTTTGGTACATAAAAATGTCTACATAAATTAATTTTACTCAGTTTGATTATTATTATCTATTTTTTGGAAATATTCCAATGAAAAATAAATTTTTTAGTAAGATTATAAATTTGATGATATTAATATCAAACTTTTTATTAAATTTCTCCACCATCTTAGATTTATTTAAGAAAATTCTTTGAAATTATCAAAATTCAATTAAAAAAAATATATTTTCTTATTTAAAAATTTTTTAGATAAATTCTTTGAATATGAAACGTTATATTACCAAAATTTGCTGTTTTTAGTATCCAAAATTCTTATAAAAATAAATTCCATTTAATTAGTACACAATTTAGTTATTTTTATTTTTTTTTTTAATATATTTCAGTTCAGATATTAAATTTTTGATCGTTCTGGTAAAATGATGATATTAATATGAAATTTCTCCATTTTCTTGGATTTTTTTTAATAAATTATTGAATATTATAAAAATGCATTAAAAAGAGAAACGATTTTTTAATTTTTAGCATATTAAAAAAATATTTTTATCAAAAAATATTATATTACCAGAATTATTAAATAAATTTCCCAAATTTTGTAAAAAATGAATTTTACTAAATTTTTTAAATATTTTAATATCACAACAGCTCAAAAAATTTAGAAACATTGAAATTAATATCAATATTTATATAAAATTTCTTTATTTTCTTAAATTAAAATAAAAAAAACCTTTTTGGATATTGTAAAAATGCAGTAAAAAAATAAACTTTTTAAATTTTTAGTATATTAATAAAATACTTTTATAAAAAAATGTCATATTATCGAAATTATAAATTTATTAAATTTTGTAATAAATGAATTTTTTTAAATATTCTAACATCTTCATAGCTCAGAAATTTAGAAACAATGAAATTAATATAAAATTTCTTCATTTTATCAAATTAAAAAAAAAATTCTTGAATATTGTAAAAATAGACTTTTTAGTATATTAATAAAATACTTTTAATTAATTAAATTTTTCAAATTTTGTAAAAAATAAATTTTACTAAATTATTTAAATATTTTAACATCAAATTAGCTCAAAAAAACTTAATTTCCCAAAAACACTTTCACAGAAAAAAAAATTAAATTGAATCAAGAGAAAAATTCTTGAACCAAGAAAATAATTTTGAAAAGTTTCACTGACTTAAATTAAGACGAAAAATTTTTGAATCAATTAAAATTTACTTAAACCAAGAAAAATTTTTTAGTTTAAGAATTTTTCTACTCAAATTAAAAAGATAGAGTTATTTAAAATTATTTACTTGATTAAAGTATTTTTTTTTTCTGTACAAGTAATTGTCATCCAAAAATTACTAAGCAAGCTTAAACCTAAAAAAAAATGAAAAATCACCGAAATTTTCTCTAATAGAACTCTATTAATTTCCGCAGAGTTTTCAACAAAGTGAAAAGCAGAAGTGCCCACATGAAATCACATCGGCCAATGCCCTCGCCAGATTTAACGGACTCTAAGAAGCCAGCTTCGCAACAAACGTCTAAACAATCTCGTGCACAGTCGAACAATGCGAACAATATTACCAACAACTCGCCTCAAATAATAGAGTACCAAAAGCTCCAGAACAGTGACTTGACCAATCCAAACGCGAACCATCTGTGGCACAACCCCACAAGATTAAGACCGCCATAGAACATACAAATGCGCCTACTTCTGGTACCCTAGCGAAGGTAATACAACCTCAAAGACAATTATAGGTACTCAGTATGTAACGTGCGTTAATTTTACCAAATCTGGAGAATTGTTGAGTAAAATGAAGAATGTAACTGTAATACAATAAAAAGACATTCCTCGGAACGAGAAAATCAATCAAGACATGGCCTAACGTCGATATTACTATCATCGATCAAGTGAAACGCGACGGTCTAAATTAATAACGCAACATGTACAATGTGTGTTTTAACAGGGTGAATTTTATTGAGATAAATCGACTCGAACAAATAATATAAATTTATCAAAGTCTACGGATAATCATTCTCAATGAAGATTAATATTATATTATGAAAAAATATATATTGATGATTATTAATTATTAAACACTAATTTCCAGATACGAAAGACAAATCACGTCCAGACTATACTATGATAAATATATAGTCGTGCATGATGAATACTTATTAAATAGTAACAAAGAGTGTATTATTGTCCGTTATATATATAAAAAAAATATATATATTATATATAATATACAAAAAAAAAAAACGTTTCCAAATATTGTCTCAAGACAATTTTACTAATATAATTAAATTACATTATTTATTTATTTATTTACATTCTTTTGTTGTTGTTAATATATGGGTGCATGATATTATTGGCAAATGTTATTATGGAAATGGTAATGGTATTAATAATCAGATTTTTTAGTTGGGTCTAGGTATAATTTTCTTAATTTTAATAGGATTTTTAAATTAATCAAATTATTTAAAACTTATGATATTAATATCAAGTTATTTTATTTTTTAAAAATAATTATAAGGGTATTTTATCGTTTTACTGCCGGAAGGTTACTTAAAAAATATTTTTAATCACTATACAACCTCAAATTACATACTCTTTAATTTTTTTATGAAAATTATTTCAATTCAAAATTTTTTGATGTAAAATCTAAAAAAAAATATTTTTTTTAATGATTCAAATTTCAAAAATTATGAAAAAAATTTCAATTAATATTATTTTTCATTTAATTTTAAAAATTCTAGCTAAATTTTTCTAAAATTATCTACTTTAAAACTATTTTATTGTTTTACTATCTCAAAATTAATTAACAAAAATTTTTAATTATTATATTTTATTTTTTAAAAAAATTATTTAATTAAAATTAATTTTATCTACAATTTGTTGATTTTTATAAAAAAATTTTTTTTCTATTAATTATTATTGGTAATTTTTATCTTTAACTCCATTTTGTTCTAAAATTACATAAAAAATTTTTTTACAGACTAAAAAAATAAACAAAAAATTTTTAATCAATTTTATTTCACTGTTTTACACTCAAAAAATAAATCTAAAAAAATTTTTAATCATCATAACCTAAAATGATATTTAAAAAAAAATGATTAAATTAAAATCAATTAATTTTTTCAACAATATTATTTTTTATTTAATTTTAATAATTCTAGCTAAATTTTTCTAAAATTATTTTATTGTTTTACTATCTCATAATTAATTAACAAAAATTCTTAATTATCAGAACCTAAAATTATATTTTATTTTTTAAAATAATTATTTACTTGAAATTGAGTTTATCCACAATTTGTAAACATTTAAGAAAAAAAAAAAATTTTCTCTGCACTTTTGTAGGTTATTTTAATTTTTACCGCCATTTTGTTATCAAATAACCCGCAAGACTAATCAAAATATTAACTTGAAACAATTACCAATCAAATCTTTACAAAAAACGCGATTTCTTCCAAAAAAAACTCATTAATATTAATATCATCTTAAAAAAAAGTCAAAAATTAACTTAATTTCCGTACTTAAGCCACCGGCGGCCATTTTTACGGCAGTCCGCCATCTTGTCAACAACCAAAGAAAATCAAATTGCCATAATCAAACCAAAAAAAAGCTATTTACACCCAAATAATTTAATTAACAATAAAAAAAAAACCCACAGATCAAAATAATAATTTACCGAAATCAAAAAACCAACTTAAAAAAATGATTATTAATATCAAACTCGTTAATTGCATGTAAAAAGTAATGAAAAGTGTACATACTCCTACATAGATGTAAAAAACCTAGCCATAAATTTCTAGATAGAGTAGATAAAAAAGTATCAGTGTCGATATTATAAACATTATATTAATATAAATACGAAGATTATTTGAGTAATTGATTATTTAGTTTTTCTACCTTACGCGACTCTACGTGGCGAGGCTCTTGCAAAAACAATCTCTAAGTATATAAATATAAATGTATCTTATAATTCTCCAAATGGTTGTTGTATTTATTACAATTATAATTAAAATTAAAAAAAAAAAAAAACTATTGTGTAAAAATTCGGCTTATTAGCTAGAACTAGCAAAGTTGTATCATACGGTTTATTTATTTAATATTAATTATTAATTATAATTATAAATAAATTTTATATAAAGTTTCTAAAAAAGAAACTCTAAATTGTTATTCAAGAGATTTGCCAACCGTAGACGTAATCTTTGCTGTTATTTATTGTTGCTAACTTTCCTTGAGCTGTAAATTCTCATTATTATTATTAATTATAATTATTATTTACATTTATAAATAAATAATTATTGTAAGGGCTTATAAAAGTCTAGGCAAGACTAAAAAACTTCCAACTTGGATGTACTCATCTGACAATTATAGTGCCAATCATATATTTAATATCTATACATATATTTATAATATATATATATATAAATATAAATATTTAAATAATATTATTTTACAACACGCTAGACTTTTTTTCACTCTTCTATCTACTCTCGAGATTTTGAATATTAAATTTATCAACGGTCCGGCCACGCGCTCTCAAAAATTTTATCAAAAATCGTTTTTTTTATTTTACCAGCCTCTTGTAATTTTAAATCTAAGATTATTATATTATAATAAGATTTGTTGATATATTGTCAATAGTGAATAATTAGCACATATCAGTTGTGACAATACTATTAAACTTAGATTATATTTACACTAATTATAAGCGCTGGTATTATTTGTATTTGTGGTTAGCAGGGTTGAATTTTAAAAATTCATTTATTTAATATTTATCTATTAGATTTTCCAAAAATTTTCCGCTCAAAATACTGCGAAGCTTTCGTAGATTATAGAGAAAAAAAAATTTTTCAAAAATTCCGACCCTAAAACTTTTAACAGTGGCGTCGAAAAAAAATCGCAAACTACGCGCGAGAAAAAACAGGGTTCGAATCTCGGGGCCGTATTTTTTTTTTTTTTTTTTTTTTTTTTTTTTTATTTACTAACCCTGTCTCTAAGGTGCTAATTAATAATTTACCAGAGGCTGGTAAAAATTACGATTAAAATGAAACATTAAAAAAAAACAGTAACGAAGATTTGCATGGATTGTACAAACGAGTCCCTCCACGTCACAGAAAAACAAAACTAATGACTTATGAAAATAATAAAAAATATATATAGATATATATAAAGCAAAAAAATGTGATGTAATTAACTGGTATGAGGTATTATTTGTACGGACCCGTACCAAGAGTTGTGCCACTTTAATTAAATGTTTTTCTCAGTAATTTATTTATTTACCTATCGAATAATTTAAAATCAAAATAATAATAATGATAATATTTATAAAAATGAAATTAAAAAAGGCACGACTCGATGAAGAAAGTGTAGCGTGGTTTATACACCTGAGGAATGTGCTCAAAATATTGTAAATGAGAAACAAAAGTACTATCAGCGAAGTTTTAAAATTAATGTTAATTCACAAAATTAATTAATTATTAATTATTAATTAATTGAATTGTATCTGTCTATCTATCGCCATCTATGTCTATCTATACAGCATTCTTACTCCGTTGTAATAAATATTAACATTAACTACTACTATTATTAATGTAATAGAATTTTTAAAAGAAAACATTAAATCGCTAAAGAACAATCAGCTGTAGCTTCCGCAATAAATTATACTCTTTTGTAATCATGCAATATTTGGACTTTTGAGAGGTTAGCTGCGGGAATTATTGAGGTTAGAAAAAAAAATTCTATTCAAAATTTTGATTAAAGAGGTTCGAGCGTATGAGTCAAAATAATGTTAAAATTTTTTTTTTTACTTTCAGTCTTCCCAATATTCTTCAAAATTCTTTATCAATTTAAAATAATTTGAACAATTTAATTAATGATTTTTATTTAATAAAATAAAGTCATATGCCCTGTATAAGGAGATAAAAAATAATAGTTTAAAAAAACTAAAAACACGCTTTTTATAGAAATCCAAACTAAAAAATAGAAAATAAATTTTTAAAAAAAGCGTGGGGTGCTTTTTAAGATATTGTCGAAATAATAATCCATCTACTTATATCTGTCAATAAAATATTTATAACTATTGACACCATGCACCCCACGCTTTTTTTTAAATAAAATACATTTTTTTTATTTACACTATTATTTATTTATATTTATTGAAATTTTTAACACTATTCTTAATTTAAATTTATTAATATTTATTTTCTATTTTTTAGTTTGGTTTTCTATAAAAAGCGTGTTTTTAGTTTTTTTGAACTATTATTTATTTTTTACTTTTTAGTTTGGTTTATTTATAAAAGCGTGATTTTTTAGTTTTTTTAAACTATTATTTGTTTTGTAGAATTAAAATTCTCTTTAGTATTCGAAAATTTGTCAATATTAGAGAAATCGGCTAAAGATAATTATTGGAAATTGAAATTAACATCAAGTCCTGTCTTATCGACTGTAGAGAAAAATTATAAAAAATGAAAATTAAGTTTCTTACCTTATCGACTATAGATGAAAATTATATAAATTAACAAAAATCATATTTTGCAAATTGAAAAATTGAATAATTTTATCAAATTAGTGTATTGTCATCAGTCCTCGATAAATCTACAAAGTTTGAACGAAATTTGGCCATTTAAAGTGGGTCAAAATCGCGCCCAAAGAAGTCGGTTACAAACATACAAACATACAGG